AACTTCAGAAGTTCGAAAAACCAATCTCACAAATTCGATCAAATCACACAGATTCATCACCACAATGCCTACAATGAGAACGAGAGCGAAACCTTCAGTCCCAAACACAAACCCTAATCCAAAAGTCTCGAACTACGAGAAATCCAGAGAAGAAAGGATCAAAGAGAATCTCGAGAGGATGAAGAATCTAGGGATTATGGATCTCTCTCGCAAACTCAGTTCCCAGATCCGATCCGTTAAAAGACCTTACTCCAGAGTTCGTCGTAACTCTCCGACCCGAGACACGCCTCCTCTTCAGAGACGATCCTCGAGGTAATCTCTTTCTGGGTTCTTCAGATTTTTGCTCGAATCGGCTTTTCTCTTCCAATTTCTAGGGTTTTTAGTTGGAAATTTAGGGTTTTTTTTTTGCTCATTTCGTTTCGTTTGTGATTCTTCAGATTGAAGGAGGAAGCGCCAGTTACTCGACGATCCTCGAGGTATTTGAATTGAAAACTAGGGCTTTTAAGTTGAAATTAGGGATCATTGTTTCTATCTGTTGTTGTTTTGTAGATTGCAGAACGCACCACCAGTTACTTATGTTGAGGAAGATGAAGTCAAAAAGGGTAAAAGATCTAAAGAGATGGTTTTGTGGATTGGAGAAGGTAAAAGACCAGAGATTTACACTGAGGAACATGAGAAACTACTAGGTAACACTGAGCGAATTTGGGAGTCTGGTGTTGATGGTTGCGATATAAAGGGGGAACGGATTTATGATTCTTTTAGTGGAAAGACTTGTCACCAGTGTAGGTTAGTGAACTTGCTTGATTTGGTTTGTTTAGTGTCTAACGATTGAGACAAGGTTGGTTTAATGGGTTAATGTGTGATTTTACAGGCAGAAAACGCTTGGTTATCGTACCCAATGCAGCCAATGTCACCCATCGGTAACCGGTCAATTCTGTGGAGACTGTTTGTACACGAGGTAATGGCAAGTGAAGGTCTTTCTTGTGTTCTTCTAAACGAGGATTGGTGCTGAATGTTTATTGTTTGTCTTGTGGTTCAGATATGGAGAACATGTGCTTGAAGCTCTGGAAAATCCAGACTGGCTTTGTCCTGTCTGTCGCGATATTTGCAACTGTAGTATATGCCGCAAACGCAAAGGGTGGTTACCAACTGGCTATGCGTACAATAAGGTAGCGATTTTGAATATTTTTCCATTTTTGCAGATTCTCTCGTATTACCGGTTTCTGATTTCTCGGATAAGATCTAAATTTTGGAGGCCTTTCCTTTGATGTCTTCTTCTTTTCAGATACGTAATCTTGGGTACAAGTCTGTTGCACATTATCTGATTCAAACCAAGAAGCAGTCAGAAACAAGTGAGGATGATGAAACTGATGATGCTCTATCACAAGCTTCTGCAAGGGCATCCTCGGAAGAAGATCATCTCCCTCTCGCGATTACTGACGGGGTTCAGGACAATCACAT